ATGTACCAAAAAAAAAAAAAAAATAGCATCTAATTTGGTTCACACGTTCTCGCACCAATACTAATTTTTATTTGAATCAACCCCTTATATTATAAATATAGATATTTTGGCACTTTTTTTTTTAATATAGATATAGATACTTATTAAAAAAATTAAGCGAAACTTATTATTAGGCCTCAGATAGCCTAGCCATTTGACAAATTAATTGGTTTGGCATAGTCCTCAAATAGCCTTACCATTTAATTGTTATGGCACAATTTAGGCCAAGTAGTTGAAAATCAATTATATGGTTTGGCAATTGACACAATCTAGTTAAATCAACGCCTTTATAATTTTAAAATATATACATACAAATATGTATAATATTTTATTTGCATTTATGAATGTACACAAAATCAAGTACGATGTTACTAAACTTATGATGATTTTTGTATACTATCATAAATGTCATATGCCAGTGCAAATTTTTGTACTCCAAATAACAAAAAATATCTTTTTCAGATAACGAGTATAAATAATCTAGTCGATATGAATTGTTTTGCCAAAAAATGAATTGTATTCTTTCCTAAGGCTATTTTTTCACTAAAATATGTCTAATTTGAATAGGCATGTTCGCCCTCTCTCTCTCTTCAATAGGATTTTTTTTTTCCAAATTCACAGTCGTTCTCCACGGTTTTCGTGGCCTCCGATCCACCGTGGGGCTGACATGCACCTGGGTGTTCTCTGTCCTCTCTATCTCGTCTCGACACTTGTTCTCGGAGCGTCGCTTCTCACTTAGATGGGTGGCTGCGATGGGACTTTCCGCCAACTTGGCGGCGTGGAGGGGGATATCGTCGTCAGTAGCTTCACTGGTGGTGGCCGGAGCTTAGGCCGATGCATCTCATGTCCCATAAACCTTATCCCTTTTCCCAGGGGTTGAATTCGACGAAATTGCTCGTTATACTGGAAGAAAGATTATGAAATTGCTCGTCATAATTGTTTGATGCAGAAGGAACAAATTTATCATTCGTCCTTATACTTTCATGACGAAGGAATTCTTTTTTTTTTCAATATACAAATTCTCCGGATGCAAACTTCCAATCTCTTCCTCAGTTGGAAAAACATTTGAGAACTGTACAAACAAAAAAACAATCAACAGTAAAAAAAACATATAACAAGATGAAATATAAAAATTAATTAAAAAAAAAAATAGAAAACTATGTATAGAAACATGGTCAGAACGAAGGGAGTAAAACTTTCGAACTAGGAATTGTCTGCCAACTGAATTATCTGCCTTCCACTTCAACATTCTAAGTATTATGGAACTCAAATTATCAACTTTAATATAAATAAGGCCAGTCGCATGATTACAACTTTCATAAAACCACCATTGACACTTATTATAAACTGAAGTCTTAGTGGTGGAAATCTTTTCAACAATATTCGAAAAAAGT